TGGTATAGCAAACGACAATGATTCATCTGTTTACTTTTGTTCAAAGTAAGTGCAACAGAAAATTCCAAAAGGTAGCTTTTAACTTCTCAAAACTATAATCTACTTTTGTATGTTTAGGATGTATTGAACTACAAATTTACTGTATTTTACAAAGTTGAGATAGATGTACATTTCTAAGTAACTGCAGCACTTGAGATTAATGACGTTCTGTGATAAGAGCTAATTCCATATACTGCTCGTTTCAGTTCACAATAGTAAAAAGCTTCAGTTTCATTTGTGATCATAAATAAGAAAAATAGTTTTATAATATAATTTATAGTTCAGTTTTCAGATATAATTTTACAGTAACCTCTGATAGACCCTTTGGTTTGCAGTAAATACTTCTTTTTTAAATTCTGTTATTTCCAATGTTTCTCAATCCTTTAAAGCTGTAACATTATGAGGCTAAGATTGTAATTTTGTCTCATAAAGTTGTGTTATGTTGCTCTAGCTTAATTTTGTTTTATTGTTTATTAGGTATCCTTTATATTCCTGTGATCTGTAAAATTATTTTTAGTTTGACTATCACATTTACATTCTACTTTATATATCTCAGTGTTGTTTTTTATCTTTATTTTATCTCTGGTTTTCCCCAACATTTATCTTATTCATAAGTTTAAAGATGGGACAAAATTATTTTTTTTAAAAGCATTAAATAATTGACCTGTTAATCCTGAAACATATGGTAAAATTAGGCTTTTTATTAGTTTTTCATAAACAGATTTTAACATAGTATTTTCAACTACCACTAAACTATTACTAAATTTATTAAATGCTCTATCTAACATTATGCATTTAATTAGCAACAATTCACTACTTAAAGCTTCTTGTCTACAACATATTTTCAATGTTCTGTAAACATAAGTATAAAATTCAGAACATTTTTGTTTTTAAATGGAAGCCACTGATGACTTTAATTGTTTAAATATGAAATGATGTATTTTAATTACTTATTTAAGTTTAAGGTATGGCCCAATAAGAATGGCATAATCTAGCAGTACATTAATTCATTGTAAAAAATACAAATAAATTTTATTTATAAACCAGTATTTAGTTTCAGTTTCATGGCAAAGGATGCAGTGTATTTTCTACAAGCCAAGTGTAGTAGTAATATCATTAATTAAACACCTAGTCATCTATAATATGTATGTTCTGTATGGATCACTTGATGTATGAAGGATTTATTAATTAAACACCTAGTCATCTATAATATGTATGTTCTGTATGGATTACTTGATGTATGAAGGATTTATTAAATAAACACCTAGTCATCTATAATACGTATGTTCTGTATGGATCACTTGATGTATGAAGGATTTATTAATTAAACACCTAGTCATCTATAATATGTATGTTCTGTATGGATCACTTGATGTATGAAGGATTTACATGATGCACAAGTTTTTGTAATCATTTCAGTACCTTCATACCACACAGAACCATTAATTGTAGCCCAAAGATGGCTATTTTAATAAGATCACACAGAACCAGCTGGGGAAGTTAAGACATGTTAAGTGTAGTTAAACACCAAATGCAAAGGACCAACCAATCTTCTCAACTTTTGAGATACTAAGTTCTACAATACAGGTCTGTTATGGTTGTGATAAAGCCTAAGAGTTGACTGTTACTTCTGGTAAGGTATTGGTTTCAAGCAATATTTTTATACGACTTCACAAGTAGCAAAGCCTTTAAAGATTATGAAAGTCACATTATATGGCCTCATTAGCTGTATCAGACCTGCTAAGTGCTAATAATTACTTGGATGATAAAATTATAAATATTTTTTATTTATAATAATAGGCTAGGTTTGACACATGTTTCACTTGGATGATGACTATTATTATTTCCATAAATTGGGAGATAAATATTTAGGCCTTATAACAACTATGATTTTTCACAGGTCCTTCAATATTTATCATTCCAATTAGAGTACATTCGTTCTAGTTGGCTTAGAATCTTTTTTATCTTCAGGTGTTTTCCGGATCAGTTTGTGATGGATTTTCTTTTTTTCTGTCTTAGTTTAACTTTTAATCTTTATTCTTTCAGGAAATCTTTGCCAGCACACAACTGGCTTTTCAATATTGAAAAACATAACAAAACATTTAAAGCTATTAAATATGACTAAAAGTAGACACAAACCACTACAAGAATGACTTTGACATCATGGCTGTATATGAAAATCTTCTTATATATTTAAAATATTACAATAGTTAATTTTGATGACAATCTGTATTTGTAGGGCATACTGTATACTTGTGATGCAAATCTATTTCATTTTATGTGCTAAATTTTCAATACACAGGTACAACTGTGATGTTTATTACGTAACATATGACAAATTTAATTATTAGTATATTAAGTTACTCTTCTTAAGTAATTATTTTCCTTTAGCATTGAATTTTTAAGCATGTGTTTCATGAAATTGATTTCATTTGAGTAATAAAGTAATTGTAATGAAAACTGAAAAGAATTAACACTAAATTTTGTACTTTCTTTCAAGGTGATTGAACAAGAACATATGTTTTGTGGTGTTTAGAAGTTCCTTAACACTAAGTTAAATTTGTATATGTCTCTTTGAACAGAATATACAATTACTCCTGATATGCATTCATTAAAAAAAACTTAAATTTATTTCACAACAAAACAGGTGAAACCACTTAATGACAAAAAGTATTTTATTGGGATGAAACAGATTACAATAGTAGTGAATAAGCTTCAACCACTGTATCTAATTTTCATTCATATATCTTGATTAAGAGAATAAAATAAAACAAACATTTATATAATTAATATGAGAGTTGGGAATAGTTCAAAAATTAAATTTTTCTACTATTATTTTGCAACTTCACAAAAACATGTACATCAACGTGAAACAGTCTTACCATCCTACAAATTTGTCATCAAAATATCAAGAAATTTGAATGTTTCTTTTCCGTTGAAATAATTTCAGTAGCATTAAAACATCATCAAAAATGGTTACTAATCTAAATTTAAGTTCCTGGTTTTAACCTCTAGACAAATTAGGAATAGTACTGTTTCTTAACAAGATGTTTAGTTTTTCTTTTGTACAAGTAGTTGCAATACAAAAATCATTCACTGTGATTTCAACAATAACACTGTGATAAAAATATTATGTAAAGAATTTATAAAGATGATACATGTTGTGGAAAAGATTATGGATAAATATCTTGATGATTGAATCTAAGTTTCAAATGGACAGCAACTGCCTGTTGTAGAAACCTACATATGTAGAGGACGGAAGACTTTCGAAACGTCGTCCTCTACATTTGTAGGTTTCTACAACAGGTAGTTGCTGTACATTTGAAACTTAGATTCATTATGAATACTCTGCCTAAACAACCTATCAAAGATTACATCTTGATGATTGTTTTTCTGAAACAGCAGTCACAATAAAATATGATTTTCCTTATCTTCTGTTAATTTGAATCATATGAAAACACCCTCATTGTTTAACCCATTTGTCTGAATTTAAACTTGTATCGTGGGATTAATTTCATGTTAAAGACCTCCACAATTAAAAAGTTTGTAAAAATTGTATCAATGTTTAAATGTTTCAGTACCTTTGAATGTTATTCATTTCACATCAGAACAATTAATCCCTTTTGGGAAAAAGCTAGATTTTTGTCTTCCTGCTTTTATATTTAGAAGAGAAAAAAAAATACAATAATGCTAAACATGCTATTAAGAAAAATTACACAAAAAATATAGATCTCAAAGTAATAGAAAATCAGTTTTTTCAAAATATTTTAAGTAAATATATATAATCTATTATTTTGATAGCATATTTTGCTTCAGTGTTCTATTACAACATCAATTATCTTCCAAACTTTTCAGGATTTCTTTTGTAAACAACCATGCCATAGAGCATTCAGCTCATTAACTCCTTTCCATGTAAAATGTATACATATGTATTATGTTAAAAACAGACAAGGAAAAAAACAGGATCTCTCTTTGGTCTAAGGAAAAATAGAAGAAAGAAAACAAACCAAAGTGCTTATAAGATAACAAGGATGATTTTATTTTAATACATATTACTTGTTAATGATATCAGATTTTAAAAAAAGCTTCTCACCTATTCTGAAGACAGATCAATTAATAGTTTCTATAATTGTAGAAAGCAATAAAATACAACATTAGAAGTGAGAAAAATGTAATACAAGCTTGAAAACTTAGTTTACAATGTAACATCTCATTCTGTAGTCTTTAGATTGTAAAATCCATTTTGATATGAGCTTTGGATCCCAAAAGATGAAGAATGTGTAATAAGCATACATAGGTCAAGTTAAAAGAAGTTATTTTAACACATCAAAAAAAAAATAATGTGTAAGAGACCTTGGCACTCAGCTTATGGTGGTTCACTCTAACCTATTACTGTGTAACAGAGTGAAACAAGAAACATATACAGAACTGACTTGACCAGAAAAATGCTCCTCTTATTAAAAAAACTGTAAAGTATTGTTGTTTCTTTTGAAACAAATTTCAGATCAACATCAGAATGTGCGGAAAAAAAATTACAGTTAAAGAGTTAATAATCTTGCATCTACCTTTACCAAAAATCTGTTATAATAGTTTAGAAGTATTTCACTAAAGCAAAATAAATTCCAGTAGGTGATTTTTGGCATGGTCCAAGAGTATTGTGTATCTTTTGTAACTCTGAAGAGTGATGAGTTCACAGTACATGTACTGCAAATTATAGTTATAGAAAAGTTACTTTTCACAAGTAAGTCATATACCATAAAGAAAGAGCAGGAAAGGGTAAAATAAGTGCACATGAAAAAGGTGTATTCTTTGCTTTTTTTTTAGCCACAGGAGTAAACAAGATTTGGAAGGAAAGTTTCAACATGTTATTTAAGAAAAAGGATTAAACATTACAGAAAGTGACCAAGCAGTGTGGTTAGACAAGTCTGTAGTAACTGAAATTCAAATAACATAGATACATATCTTATTTTTAGTTTTAATCAACATACTAAAGAAAAGGTACAAGTTTATACACATGCACCTTTATAATGTTAAAAATCACATAAAACTATGGATATTACAGAATTACAAAAGGAACCAGGAGTTTTACTTTGAAAACTTTATTGATATTTCGATCATCATCTGCTTTTAATTTACTGCAAAGAGCTAGAAAATGTCAAGTAATGTTCAACATTTTTGATTTAAATGATTAATATTTAACACTGAAAATTATAAATATAAATTACTTTTGTCTTATTTTATTTTAGTGCACAGTTAACTGAACCATAGATTCTACACATTTTAACACTGTATGTGATTAAAATTATAACTGCCTCGCAGGGGACTTAACTGTAGGTAGAATATTTTGATGTTATAAATTATGTTAATATCCTAATAAAATGCATGTTCTTTCTTAAAAGACAGTGTATAAAGAGAAGTTTGTGAACTGGACATTAAAACTTTTGCAAAAGAAAAAACAAAGAAGTTAATAAAATTACTAGTTCTAAAATTAAATATTCAACATACAACTACAAAGATGTAGATACATAAGTCAGCATAAAGTAATAAGTAAATCCTTTCACTGATAAACCTGTGAATACAAAAATGTTAATTAAAACTATATGATTACATAAAAAATACAAAAAGTGAGGATAAGTGAAGTTTTGAATCAAGCATTTTCACTTTCATTGAAATACAGTTGTCATTACACACAAAAATTCTTAAGCCTAATGGAGAGCAATGTTCGTTCATGTCATACTAAAAAATTCTCTAATGTGAGATATAATAGATCATAAGAAAATGACACCAAAAATCAATGAAATGATAATCAAACTTCAATATATTTTGAATTTTATTTTACATCAAATCAAAGGTATATGCACCAATACACATTATTTATTCTATTCTAGTCTAACATAACACATATTTTTGTCTCAACATCATGGAAATGGAGAAAGAAACCATAAAGTAGAAAAGTATGTGTATTAGAATGGTTTGCATGATTAGTGATGGACTGAAACATGACACAAGGAAGATGTAAAACAAGAAAACAAACATATGGACATGTTTAAGCATGATATTTTAATGTCTCACAATCTTTTCACAATTTCTTTACTTTTATTTGGATGTATATTTATAAAATATTTTGGTAGATGACACTTGTCACCTCTGTTTTTCACACTTGTTCCACATTTCCACCAATTCACCATACATCTGTTTAAAAACAAAGAAAATGAAATAAAAATGTAGTTAAATATTTATACTGATGGTGCATTTACACACATCCTAAAATTAAATATGCAATCAACATGTTACTTCAACAACAGTACTAGCCTGACTAGGAGATTAAGTAATTTTAACAATCTTAAATACTTCACGAGTAAATCCAAAAAAGCACATTAAAGTTAAAAAAAAAGAATGAAAATAATATAATTCAAATAAACTATAAAACATAATAAAGATTTTTAATGTTGCCACTTATTTGACTTCTTAGCTTAGCTTAATAGATCTGAAAGCCTAATGCAAAATAAGAAACATTTGAAGTACATGTTTTCTATTGACTAACATACAGTTTCATAATTATTACTGTAAATTTCACTTGAATTCCACATGGAACAAAATTAATATATTATTATTCACAAGTTTAAATTATGTTTTAAATTAAATGTAACAAATTGCTACAAACCAAATGCCAAAAGCTGGTGAAATTGGAAAAACAACGGGCCTATGAATTGTCATTAAAATGAGTTAACTGCAGATTTTATTTCACATTCCTCTTAATTTTTCCATTGCAACGTAGTGGGCAGTGACTTGTGGGAGACGAAATAGATCTGACTTTTTACACATGTATGATTTTGAGCTGCAGTGGACAAATTAAGAGGATGTGGAAAAAACAAACATCTGCAAATATTTTATGTTATGCTCTTTCAGTTACAATAATATGATATGTTTCTATGGTCTTATATGTTAACTATTAATGTATGTTGTGCAGTACAGGATATCTTATACATCACTACTTACCTACATTAACTATTTATTCAAATAATTTTGAAGTGTGAATAAACAATAACCTAAAAAAAGAACTTAAGGAAATTTTCTATTTACATATTGGTCTCCATATTTTTGTTGATCATATTTTAGTGTTCATGGAGAATGTGGCAATGCATCTCAGTTTTGCTAAAATTTGTAGAATTCGTAACTGTTAAGTTTACACATCATTAACAATTTCTGGAAAGAGAAACACATGGACAAAAACATTACTTTGGCTTCTTCTTATGGGTTAAATAGTTTGGAGAAAGATATTGAACAATTCAATAATATTCTCAAAAGACCCTATCCATCGGCACCAAGTGCTTACATATATAACAGTTGGTGATCCCAAAAGAACACATTAAACTGTAATGAAAGTTCTCAAAACAAGTCCTATAATATCTCATGCATTAAGGCGTGAGAAACTGTCGGTGGATGAGCCCCAACAGGACAAACTGTACTGCCAACAGGTGATGCAGTGAGTAATAGCTGTTAATGAGAACAAGGGGTACAGTAGGAGAGACCCTCTTCAAGAGATGAGTTGCAGAATCAACCATGGATTAGTAGGACCCATGAAGGAGATGTGGCTAGGATCTTCATTCAGCAACCCTTGACTGAGGGCTTACACTTGCCAGTGTGTGTGGCTCTCAGATCCCACTGGCTAAACTGCACTCCATCGTATTGGACTGTCCAGTTCGAGATGGACCACGAACTTACCCACAAGAGATTAGCATTGAGACCAAGTGTACATGTGGTGGAGAAAAAGCAGATCACACCCCTTTTGTTCAAAAGAGTAGCCAAGGAAAACCTCAATCAATATACAAGAATATTTTTAATGTTTTATTTTCTTTTCTAATTCCTTATCTTTTATTATTTATGTCAACACACTCCAACGGGTACCTGCAATTGATAAACGGTATAAATGGCAGAGATACCTTACCTCCTGCAAAATCTTTTTATACCCGCTTTGTAAGGTAAGCCTTACAGAGTGAGGTAAAGCTTTGGTTAATTTATAAAAATTATTAAACCTTTCAAATACGAATTTGAAAACATAAATATTGCATAATTAACTAAAATATAAGAGTAAAACCTAAAAAAATTTAACTGTCACTCTAGTTATAACATATTTATATAAGGAACAATGTTGGATATAAAAGACTGTTTAGTGCGAGTGTTATTATTTAGTTTATTTAGTGATTTAATATTTAATGATTATTTACTTTTCATAACAAGATAGTTAAAAGTAATTATTTTAAAGGTGATAGTTATGACAAGTTTGTTTGCATAACTCGGTAAGGGTCATATGTTGTTTGTGTGGTTCAACTGTTGTAGTGTTGTTGACACCAAGTTACTCGAATCTTTGGTATTTTTCTCTCTCATTACCTTAAGTGAGTATTGTTACATTATAGTGTCGCTCACATAGTTTACAGAAAGTTCGAGGCTTCAGTGAACAATTTATAAATATAGGCAATTAAGTGAGTGCAAGATTTTAAAGTAATTGAATCAGCCTGATGGACTTCTGACAAGAAAAGGGAATTATTTAGTTTTAGATAAAACTGAATTTCCTATAGAGTATAGAATTTTTGTTCATACATCCGTTTCTTGTTTGTATTTATAGCCAACAAGTCACAGACACCTACTGTTAAAGAATCCCAACCTACATACTTAAAACCCTGACAAACAATTGAAGTGCTATTGTGAACAAAGCAGCCAACAATAGTACACGCAGCTACATCTACCCGATAACAACTTGGCACCAATCTCAAAACAATCACTGTTTGATTATAGTGTAAAATGAGCTCTTCCTAATGACTATACACATGTGTGTCAAGTAGCTACATGCGAGTTGTAAAACTCAAGGGAAAGTACAGAAGGTGGGCATTCAGCCAAACAACTTTAACCCTACTGAGAAGGATCTTCCTATGGTCACAAACCATGCATCACGTTTGTAGACTTACATTCCAAATTTTATTGAAGTACTATTTTTGAATGTATATCAGTAAGTATACTATCAAGTTGTAGATTATAATTAAAATTTTAGTATTATACATTAGTTAATTTCTAAATTTCAAATTAAATATTAAAAAAATCCTAAAAAATTATTTTTGTGTGTCATGTGGTATGTTGAATACAGCATTGGTTCAGATTAGGTATTTATGCTGTCCAAACTAGGAACTCAAATTACTGATATTGAGAAGCTAAAATATAAAATAAGAACCTCCTATATTTTCTATTTGCTGAGATATTGCTAGATTTAGTGAATCAAACATATTGGCCCCACCCACTTCTTTCCATTTTAGGAAAGGCTTGCATACACCTACTTTTGTTTATGATGTGTGAATAACCAATCGAAAGCTCAGAAGGTCCCCCATGTGGTTCTCTGAGCATTTGCAAAGTATTTACACTGGAAACTCTCTTCATGGTAGATTTCAAGTGGTAAGGTAAAACATTATTGAGCTCGAGAAATCATACTTTTTTAGACCAAAATACAGCTTAGCAAATAAGTCTGAGAAATTTTAGTGGAATCTGTGGTATTTATATAGTAATTTGTTATTTTTTGTTATTTTAATATGCATATATAAAACCTAAAAAAAGTAGTTTATTTAACATTCTCCACATGCGAAATTTGATAAGGCTTAGCAAATTATGGTAAGCTGCAAACAAGTACAAAGTTTGTAACTAGAAGAGAAATTGTTATCTATATTTCTTTATTTACTGTACTAAGAAATATACCTGAAATTAAAGAACTTATTTGTAAATAGTACTAATGTATATGCATACATAATGTGTTATAACTGAAATGAGATTGTATTTTACAAAATACTGGTCCACTAGAACACAGCCAAGACAGGTCACTTTGTAAAGGCCAGTTTTATATTACTGGATACAGTAACATGAGTGCATGTGCATTGCATCATTCAACTTCTGTAACATTAGTCAGACAGTGTTGAAAGGTCAATAAAATAAAAAGTAATAAATTATTATATATGTAAAATGTTATGAAATTTAAACTATTTAGAAAAAACTTTTTTTGTTTGTTTTATAATTTGTTGTAATTCTTGAATGATAAAAGCTTAACTTATATCTATTTCCTATTTTTATGGTGGTTATGAGGTCGGTAGAATCGACCAAACCCATACAAAGATACAACAGTGAATATAACAGTATAACAGATAAAATATATAAGTTTTTCCAAAAAAAAAAAAAAACGTTTGATAATTATCTGGAGGATATTAGGAAATTTCGCATATGAAATTTGACAATTTTCTGATGCATAAAACTATTTTTAATCTTAAAATCAAAATTACTTCGCATGTTGGTTAGTCAATATTCAAAAATAAAAAATGCATGAGCAAGTAATTAATTTTAAAAAATGTTAAAACTTAATTAAAAATCTCATACTCTGTGCAAGAATGATTTGTAATGTTTACTGATAATCTGCAAAATTTCGTGAAGATATGTGTACATTTTAAAAGTTACAGTATAACTGCTTTATGGTTACTTTCGAGAATAAGGTCTGGGTGGAATCCACCTGTATTAGAAGGGTTAAAAAATACGTGTGAATAGGGCAAGTAAATGTAGTTATTGTCTTGACAAACATTTACAAGGCTACAGTTTTGTGGTTCAAGTTATACACTGCCAAAGTTAAAATTTATTTATAGCTTGTATGTTACGTGACAACAAAACTGAAGTTTTCATTATAGCTTTCGATGTTTCTTTTGAAATAAAGGAATACAAACTAAGATAATATAAAACTCTGAACTATAACATACTTGATAATAATAATTGCATTAAAATACACTGATATACTGGTGTAATTACATTTTGAATGTAACCCAGTAACATGTGCAGAAAGGAGTTTAAAAAGTGTCATCATCAAAGAGTTAAAATGCAAACCTGAGGATCAGGCTAAATCTTTACTTGAGGAATTTCAATACTGGCTCTCACTATTTAAGAATGACTAAAAAGTTAGTTTTCAAACATATATATATTCTTAATTCTGTGGTTGTAATTGTATATTGCTTAATTCATGTCTGAGATAAAAAAATTTACTAAATGATGAATAAAAAAATGAGGGCTTGTATTACAAAAAATCTATATTATCATAATCTATCTATCTAAGCTGCAGCCATCCATCGTTGAATGTAGCTCTCCGTCAGACCAGTCCAGTATTTCCTATTCTTAGCATACTGTATCCATCCGATTCCTGCTTCTGCCACTATATTGTCCCTCCATCTTCTCTTTTGCCTTCACTTAGATCTTTTCTGCCATAGATTGCCATTCCATTGTTCTTAATGTCCACCTATTATCGGAATACCTTGCTACATGCCCAGCACATTTACATTTATTTCTTAGAATGAACCTTACTGCATCTATTATATTTGTTGTTTTTCTTATTCTGTTATTTCGTCACCTGTCTTGTAGTGTTATATGAAGTATTTTTCTTTCCATAGCTCTTTTTGTGGTTTTTCTCTTTTTCCTTATCTCTTTTGTTAGTGCCCATGTTTGGCAGCCATATGTTAAGGTTGGTAGTACACATTAATACATGATATTTTTCTTCAAAGTAATGGGGATATCTTGATCCTCTAGAATTTCTCTATGCATTCCAAAACATCGCCATGTTGCCATTATTCTTACAATAATTTCTTCCCTTGTTGTGTTTTCCATTTTGAGTTTTGTCCTAAATATTTGTACTCTGACACTATCTCCATTTCTTCATTCTTAATTTTGATGGTATCTGTGTCATGATAGTTGATCATATATTTGGTTTCTCACTTATGTCTATTTCAATCCTGCTTTCTTGCTACTGGCAATCAAACTGTATAATAAGGCTTCCATCTTTTTTGTTGAATTTGTAAAGAGAGCTAAATCATCTACAAACCTCAGATCTAATAATGGTTGGAGATGGCTTGAATGGGTAATGAAGAAAAACTTTAATGTAAGTTTAACATAACAGCAAATGTACAACGTTTTGACAAGGTTTTGTCATAATCAAGTACAAGTCTCAAAGTGGGCTCCTCGTCATCGAATTTGAAACCTTAGATCTGTTAATGTCTCACCATCTATTTTTATAATTTCATTCTCTGGCTCAGTTTGTCTGAATATTTCTCGTAAAGTTGCCGTAAACAGTTTCAGAGATACTGAATCACTCTGTCTCACCCCTCTCTCTATCTTTATCACTCATGATACCTTTTTATCAAGATGTATTTTTGCTGATGTGTCTGTGTATATATATATCTCTTAAGATTTCAATGTATGTTAGATTGATGACTATTATAGCTAAAGCATTTAATATTGCACTGTGTTCTACAGAATCAAATGCTTTTTCATAATATATAAACCCCACACATAAAAGTAAGTTGTATTCTTTTGATGTTTCTATTACTTGATTAGTTGCATGTTACTGATCTGTTATTGAAACATTTTTTCCTAAAGCCTGCTTGTTCTCTTGGTTGGATATTATCATAAGCTTCTTACAAATATTACTTATTAAAATTACAGATAACTAGACAACAGAAGTCCAACCTCATGCATATACAATAAAACACAAATAAGCAGAAAACATTGTAATTTACCTTGCTAACCCACGAAGTGTCTTCTAAACATTCTTCTAAGATGACACTAGATGCCTTACTTTCATCCCCAGCTCGCACAGTACTGACCTGTGGAATCAAAATGCTTTCCTGGAGTAAAAACCATAACAATACAGACAAAAGTCTTACTAAGAAACATTCTTTAAATTATATAGCAGCAGGTATAATTTTTTCTTATTATAGTAGTAACTCTACTGGAAATTAATAACACTCACTATGTGATACCTGAACATTGTAATACAGAATGAAGGGTATCATAATGTTTTAAAATCTGTAATTGAGTCGATTTTCTGTATACTTGTTTATTTGGTTTTGTCAATCATTTCTAATTGGTTCACTGAAGTACTTCACTGATATTAATTTAATGAGATGCTAAAATTAGTTTTCAACTTAGAGTAGGTTAAATATACCTCACAACCACACTGCCCTCAATAAACTAAAATATTGATTATTACAAAGTAACTAAAGGCATATATCTTCTCTTACTGTACAAACTACCTAACACTATGTCTGCAGACATTTCACCAACTGCATGGAAAGATATCTTAACATTTTGTTTTGATAAAAAACTTGTAGTAGTGAACATTCTAATGATACTTATGTTGCTGTAGATTTGAATGATAATAATTTAATTATTTTCTTTATAAAATTAACACAGGATTTATTTTAGGTTATCAGACAACAGTCAAAATACACAAAGGAAAACAGATTCTTATTTTTCGCTTTTAAACTTTAAAGTTACTAAAAATGCAGTATGATTTTTATAGTTATTTAATGATTTATGACATAAGCTACTTCATGTTTATGCCAGTAGTTGTAACAGTGAAAAGATGAAATTTTCAACTGTATGAAAAAAAATAATGATTGGATCAAGCAAAATATGTGTGTGTGTAACTTAATTTTACATCTTATGATGCTTTAAGTTTGGAGTGCTAAATCAACTAACATTCCAAAGTGAAATATAGTAATTCATTTGTGCCACTGTAATAACTGCATATAATTTCAAAGTTCTTCAAAGAGTAACACTAGTTGCTAGATTTTATAAGGGCATGTTTATAATATTTTGCATTGTGATGAAATTGCAAAACTTTGGATAATTGTTGAATTAAAAATTTAAATCATGTTTTATGAGACAAATTAACAGAAAAAAGACATAATACTTAAATGAGAATTAAAAACAAAAACAAATCTGACTGAAGGCAAGATTTATGAAGCTATTGCAGAAATATAGAGAGATTACAACAACAAGACTGAAGAAGTACAGAAAGACTGTAATGACAAAATCAAGTAAGTACGAAACAAAGCCAAAGACAGAATAAACCATTTGGAAAAAAGAATTTGTAAATTCACTGATCAAGTCATCCACATTCCTTTTTGCATCTGCCCACAAGTTCCAATTTAAAACATTATTACTATTGAATATGGAATACAAGAACCTATTTGGTCTACACCTAATACCACTATACTATCATTGTAGGACATTACTGGACTACTCCAGCCATGACACTATAAAATCAAGATCTGAAATTTAGCTGGCCAGTTCAACAGTACTGCCCTCCTATCAAGAAACCAATGGACTATGAGGGAAAGTACCACAGGAGATATTTAAGGCTCAGTTAGAAATAATTATAAAATCAAAGAAGAACTAGAAAGGCACTTAGTAGGTCACATACCCCTGCCACATAGAATTGATCATATTCAGCCCTAAAAAAATATGAAAATCTGTCCATATGGCCATTCTTATAAATGGACATGGAATATTTTTGGCAAGACAATGAGGAATAATATTCTACATATATCCACCAAGTTTCATCAAAATCTGATGATAGTTGAGTTATAGAGCACAAATAGTGGCCCCCACGTTAACAGACGTTTCTTTTTTTTTTCATTTTCGTAACCTTGACCATCCAAAAACTAATCACTTCCAAGTTGGGTCATAGTCCATATTTATTCCAACTTTCATCCAAATCCATTCAGCAATTTTTGAGAAATCGTGCTGACAAACACACATACACATAAGTGAAAACAGAATTCTGTCCACCTTTGGTAGTGGAGGTAACAAGGAGAAATAAACAGGAAATTAAAACAGTTGGTGATGAAAGTATTTCATTAGAATAAAGTGAAGTATTCAGTTCAGTGTTTATAATGAGACTTATCTCTTATAATAAGTTAACTGTTGTATAAGTAAGAGCTGATTTAGGAGAGGGGTCAAAGAGGGTCATTACCCCCACCCCTTTCAACTATTTCTTTCAGAAATTAAAAACTATTATTTAATGTTATACAATAAAGCACATATCTAGGGAAGACAAACCCCTCTATTTTTTCAAACCACTGTATTTCAATCACCCGTATTCTTCAATGTTGTATAAACAAGCAAAGCTCTGTGGGAGGAAGTACAAATCTCCACCCCACACTGCATGTATGTTCTGTTTCAGATATTAATATCTAGGTTATTGAATGTTGTATAAGCAAGAGCAGATTTAAGGGAGGGATCCAAGAGGGTTAACCCTTCACCCCTTTTGTTTTTCAGGAATTATCAACTTATTTAGTGTAATTAATGATGAAAAAAGTTAATATTTTCACAGCAGCAAATAGTTTTGCCTGTACACAAAACACATAGTTTTTTATTTTTTAGAATTTTTCTACTCATCCCAAAAAACATTTTTGCAATAAACAATTTATCTCTTGAGAACATATTGTTCATCTCTTATTTTCATGCATTTGCTTTGGTTTTACACAGGCTTTGACTGAAACCTTGCTATGGTGCCACATCAAGTGATTTAATTTATTAATAAAACACGGCTTTTACTACAACTATAAAGAGGGTTTCAATACGATTGAATAGAACATGTATTAGACTATTACATACTAATAAATACATAGATTTTAAGTTTTTTATAATTTCTGAAAACATTTCTTTCATCGTGAATGATTGAAGTATTTATGTGTTACATTATCTCTTTGAAAGTTACAGAAATTGTCTTCAACAGGAAGACATCAGATAACTTGAGAAGAGGTGGGTGTTTTTACTTTTTAATAGATATGCCATGGCTTCATCGAGTTGCAGTGTTTGTAAACATGAGTTTTTGTTTTTTCAATTAAATAAAACTGTCATCAAGTGGGATAAGTTAAGTTTACTATTTAGAGAGTATGGTAGGTGATTATAACATATTGTAATGTTTATTCTTTTCAAAAAACATATATTGATAGTTTAACTGGTTACTTAAGGTAGCAGACCCTTAAAACTGGGTAAATTTACATGCTGAGGAAACACTGTTAAACATTTATTATAACCTTCAAGTTGAGCAAAAAACAAAAGTATGATATCACAATCTCTGAAGGTACAGTTTCAGTTATATATCTCATATGCATAATTAATGCAGCAGGGATAAAGAAATACATAACATAAATTGTTTTAACATCATAAATTTACTTTGGAATGATAACAATTTTTTAAATTGATACACATGCTCTTTGTGAACATCCTCATAGCTTGAATTAAGTGCAGAAAAACTATAATGGTTATTTTCTCAAAACTCAGATTTCACTGGGTCACCAATTTATTGGCATGATAACTTTACCATTAAAGTCTATATCAACATGAAATTTAGCAAACTTGTTGATATCACACTCTTCTTAAGTTTGAATTTTTTAAAGTTCAAAAATCTTTATCAGTTGTCTTGTTATGAGTCTACTTGCCACTAACAAAGGTATTAATTAAAATTAATTGGCCATAGCTCATTAACATTGCAGAAAATTTGCAATGTTTTAATTCAATCTACGAGGATGTTCACAAGAAAAGTGTATTAATTTTAACATGTTTTGTCATTCCTAAATAACGTTATGGTGTTAAAACATGTTTCAACTCTGTAGTATTTAAAAAAAAAGAGCAGAAGATTAATTAAAAGTTCATTTTCTATAAAATTTTTAGTCCAACAATGCAATTTTGCCTTTTTGTAACAGGTACACCCAGCTGGGTGTCTAAGGGCTATACTTATGTCTGTTTTTGTCTTGTCTCATGAGATAGTTTCTTGTTCCCAGCTATTCAAATAAACAGTACATAACTGGAACTGATCACACAGAAAACTTTTAGTCTAGTAAATATGTATTTGCATAGAAAATGTTACAGAATATCTTCTCATGATGTATTAAGAATATATAGTCATATCTGGTTAATTTAAAATTAGAAAATATTTGATTTTCAATGAAGTCCTACATCCAAACCATATTTTGAATTCTAAGTTCAACTACTTTAGCCTTTACAAAACAAACAAAAGATCTAAAAACTCCAATTAAATTTTCACAAATCATTATAATTTAGTGATGCACTTTAGATTAAAAACCAATGCAAAACATTTGTAGAAAATACAAACTACTTACTTTAATACGACATTTGAGTAGAAAGTTAAACTTATGATGATACAGTTTATTATAGAGTGTTATTACTTCCAAACACTGTGAACACACTGGAAAGAGGGTGTTGAAAGGTTTTTTTACTTCCACAGGAGGGTCCTCACTCAGTGTGACTGGGTCATACAAGTGGCCATAAAAGTGAGTCATTTGTTCTGCTTCGGCATTCCTACACACCTATAAAATATTACAGAATACACTCAGAAACTGGAATTAAATGTACAAAGTCCCACTCATAACTTTAGGCTTAATACATACTCTGAATCTGGGAGGATCAAAGTGTTCATACCATAACCTTTTCATAGATTCTTACCAATAACGTTCAATAAGCATGGTATCAAGACATATCTTATGATTAAAATTCTTATCTAAATTTTAGTTTATTTAATTCAAAAGAAAGTATTTAAATAAATTCTCATTCAATTCCCTGTGTCATGTGGCTCACCTGCACTCCGAATTCCTTATTTTATTTGTTTTTCTACCTTTTTTATGGGTTTCAACATGTCCAACTAATTACAAACTCATACTATAGATATTGGCAATCCAGAATATAAAATATGATTGTCCAATCTTTTTGCTTAACTCAGGTATTTTTGACATCAACATGATAAGCACTCCCATCTCTTTCTGTCTTTCAAGACATATCTATAAATTTCTTTGACATCACTGCTGTGCATTTTATAACCAACAGAAAGTTAACATTTTCCAACACTGAAAATGTATTTCTGACAGACACCTCCTCTGACATCTAGTTTTCACTATTCAGTGCTGCCCTCTATATGTGAACTTTTTTGCACTCCACTAGCCTTGAGGCTCCTACTTTATCTCATGTGATATTGCTGCACTGTTGCATGCAAATGAGCGTGCAATAACCCTCTACTAATAATAGTGTGACACTGTCTCCTAGTGCAGCTGGCTCCCTCTATACTGATTGTTTAGTCCTCATTTTGAAGTTAGGCAAGAAAGTAAGATGCCCCAGAAGTGGGGAGGAAGGGTGGGAAGTTTCAGGAGAAATATCTGTTGGTACATTTTCAGTGTTGGAAAATGTTAACTTCTGATACATAACCTCTACTCACATCTAGCTAGAATCCCATGATTAAGTGGTGGAGGGACTGGTGCAATGTTTTTACCTAAATAACCTCCCATCATAAAGCACCAGAAGAGAACCCATGGAGTGCAACACCCTACTTTGAAACAGTATAGGAACAAACTTGTGGGAGACAACACCTTGTATGTACCAGGGTAAACTCTTTGCCCAGAAAGGAAGGGAGGTACCACAAGGATTGACAGCAGATATAAGCACAGTCCAAAACCTGTATCAGACTTTTGGAAGAGCTATATGTGTAGTGTGACTAGGGTGCAACAGATCATACATGGTGGGTCAACTCTAGTCCAAAACCAGGCAGCACCATGAACTCAGCTTCTGGGCTGCACTAGGAAGAAGTTTCCTGTCATCTTTGCCTCAAATACAGTGAGGCAGAACAGAAAAGTAACATCTGCCCTACAACTAAGTGAGGACTTATAATGGCTGTCCCTGTGCCAATACAACACCAGACTATTCAGGAAACCAACTTCCAAGTAGCATTAGGATGGGGAAAAGACAGCCAGATGGATTAACTGTACTACAAAGACAGAACCACATCACACTACTCTCTACAGAGTGGAACTAGTCACATTCAGGAGGCATCCTGAATCACCCAACTGGCTAGGAACTGGTGAATGGCAAAAACTTCTATGCTTCACAAGAAGTAGAATGGAAGCATGGTGGAGAGTCTGGAGGAGTGCATCACCATAAGACAGTGTAATGGGTGACCACAAAAGCCCTATTTTTAAAAGCAGGCCAACACTAGGTTTTAAACTAGGCATGAAGGATGGGCAGGAATCCCCTGCATGTTTTACTCATGTTAGTCCATGAGTGGGTATAGTCTGAATTGGGCCTTATTTAAAAAAAAAGAGTGCCACAAGGATACCTTGAGTAGTCTTGTGGAACACCCTTTCTCATAGGTGAGTGATATATTAGGCCAGGACAGACCTACACTGTGTAGATTTTGATTAAGTATACCCTGGCAGGCAACACTTGCAACTGAGTGGGATCCTATAAGGGAATAGAGGGCTCTGTAAAAAGAAGATAAGAAAGACTTATCCAGTCAGAGATAGTATGATGTGTGAAGAATAGCAACCAGAGGCATTCTAACAGTAAGATGATGGAAATAGTGTGTGACAAAGGCACGAGTAGTCGTCCACATGCCTACCTGAACAGAAGATGGAAATGAGCAGTCAATAAAGGAGTTAGGTGATGAATTTGATGGGAGGACACCTGGAAATGCTGACATGCTTCTCCATCCAACAGAGAAGATGCTAAGCAGATAAGCTGTCAAACCCATCCAGTGAGAGTAACTAAATGTTGAATTCCTGTCAGTTGCAGGAATTGAGGTTTGAATAAAAGGATTTAAACTGAATAGTAAATACAGTGGCTAATAACATAAGCTTGTAAGGTTGACTCAGTACTTTCTGGCTACTTGTGTAGGGATTTTTGTATGGTTTTATGTATTCATCCCTACCTTGTTTCTGTACTTTTTTTAGCATTAAATTTTCATTACTGGTTTCCCCTCTTTTTTTTTTTAAAACAATTTCATTGAAGTAGGTTAGTAAGAGAACCTATGTTTTATTTTTATAATTCAATGGTAACACATATCGTAAATCATGAACCACGATAGTGATTCATAATAGGGATCACCCAGGAATTTTACAAAAATTCTAATTGAACATACAGGTAAAAACCATTTTAAAAAATAGACTTGTTATTGAAACAACACTCAAGACCTTCTATCTCAATAGATAAGGCTGCTAAAATACTGATAATAGCAAAGTTGATTTTCCCAATGTTAAACAAATTCAAAATTCATCCATTTGTTCTTCAGATTATATTTGTTTCACAGGCTACAAAAAAAACAGCTATGAATATTTTATTCAAACCTAGGCAAACCTACGAAAAATCTCCCGTGCAGGTCACAGGACTATTTTATGTTGATTCTTGAGAAAAAAGGGGATATTTTATGAGTTTTTTCATCACTACTGGCCAGATTTCTCTTCCAAGCCATTCAAGCACTGAAGTCTACAGCAAAAATGGTTAGGTATATGGCACCAAAATCTATGCACAGCAACTAAACAAACTCCTGAGAAAGTTGTATGGCTATTTTAAAGCTGATTCTTGAAATCCCACATTTCTACCCTGTATAACTTTCTAGCTTCTTCTTTGCTACCAACATAAGCTCTTCTAAACCATTCAAGCATTGCAGAAATATAGAAACTGTTAAACTATTCAGAAATGCTTCTTTTTATTAGAGTAAACAATATGTATATTTATAACAGTGTCTCTAGCCTTATTATTATTGATTATAGTTTTACAAGTTACTACAGAAAAAACAGCTATGAATATTTTACTGAAACCTGGTCAATAGTATTTATTGCAGTATTATGTCATAGGTAGGTTTAAAATTACTTCAAGCTCCTTCGTTTTTTGCCCTGAAGATTTTCTCTAAGTCCATCAATTTCTGATGTTGAAAAAATCCAGTATTTTACCAATGTGTATTAATTAGAAAATAATATGTGCAACTTATAGTGCATTAACTGGAAACTGCCATGTTGAGGATTCATGATTTCTTCAGTCCGTTGTTTCTCGAGTTAGCTGTTGTACTTTGTTTTTACATGGTTTTCTGTGACTATTTCAGTGAGTTTTCTAACAGTTGAAGATTACCATAGTAGATTTCTATACTCTTGTGAGTGATGATTTATTCTACTGATATTTGTACTTCGCTGAAATTGTGACTGCGTATTTTAGTATTATTTTATTATTAATATTCATATTTTTGTTTCACAAGCCTACGGCAAAATTGACTGGGTATTTTGCACCAAAACCTAATAAGATTTATTATATGAAATGCTGTGAAATCTATGACCTATTTAAAAAGTTGATTATTTTTAATTGAAAGTTGATTTATGTGCCAATAAATACACATGGGACAAAATATTTGGGTTCACATCGCAATTTGCGAGTCAAAACAACTCCAGTTGCAAATCACTTTCCTCTTTGCTTAGCATAATGTGCAAATCATTCCTTTCTCTTGTATGTTGTCTTCGAGACCTCCAACAACACAGTGAAAGTGCCATAACGTTTAGTTTGATAAATCAAAGTCAGAGCTGATGTTAATTTCTCAGAAATTCTGCCAAACAGTAAATACAGTATTTCCACACTTTGTCATATGCATGTAACAAACACTTACACTTTGAAGTAGTCTGTTCATGACATTTGGAATACATCCAGTCAGCACACACAATCTAGCCAACTAGACTAGAGTATGTACATACAGTACATGCACTGTACATTTAGCATTGGGCCAGTTACAAACTCTCACAATACGGGCAAGGTCCCAAAACCAACCATGTGACCATTTTTACTTGTATATAAATTTTAATACAGTATGGGTATCTTCACAAAATTTAGCAGGCTTTTAGTAAGCATTACAAGTCATTTGTACACAAATCAGTTTTTAATGAAGTATTTTTACTAAAGATTTGTATGTAAATATATCACGTCTTTTTTGATCAGTCAAAGTACAAAATTATTTTCATGTTAAAATTAAAAATACTTTTCTTCATCTCAAATGTCATTTGCACGATTTTTAAAACCTCCTAAATACATTTAAAATGTTTTTTTTTCAGCAAAATTTTATGTTTTATTGTTAATATTTTCTCTACACTACCTCTATACAAGGTTGGTCAATTTGACTGACCTCATAACCACCAAAAAAAATCAAAAATAAAATTATCCATTTCTCTAGAAATGACTTCAAATTGTAACATGAAACTATATTTGTTTATCTAAAGTAGGGTTAAACTTGTAATAGTATACATCTATATATATTTAAAGTTTATTAGTTTATTGTCCTTTGAACAGTGTTTAACTACTAGTACTATTTGCGGCAATATAAGTCACGCAACACTATCGAATTACATTACTCATGAGCTACTTCAAGCTGCTTTCATGTGTGCCTAGTAAAAAAATTTTTATTCTATTATTATTATTTACTTTACTTAATTTAACTTTACTTAACCTAGTTTCCTATTTTTACATTTTAGTTACTTTTATAATAATAAATACAGAATACAGATGAAAAACAAGAAATAAAGTACTTACCTGGGCCTTCTTATTTGTTATCGACTGTCAACGACATTTAACCCTACTTTTTCATACTAATGATAGTAATGCACTAAATAATTAAATAATGCTCCAAAGAACATATAATTATGATATAACTATCACAATTTTTCTGACTTTCTAACTATATGACAACAAGAGTGGTTACAAATTTATCCAAGCTAGTTGATATGTTTTCCATGGGAATGAAGCTTTTAATAAAAGAGAATTTCACAATTCTCTGTTGAGAAAACAATGTAATACAATAGGTCATTTGATAGATGAAAACCTTGGCTTTCTGTTGGTTATAAGTAATGTAGTATTAAACACAAGAGAACTATTAACAAATCATTAAAGAGAGGATGTGACAGGTGGGTGTGGCAAGAGGGGTCTGATTTTCTACTTGATGGCTCTATAACCAAACAAAATAGAAAGCTATAAAAATTATGGTTTGTCTGAGCAATGAAGATTTTATGATAAGTAATTTACGTTAAATTTTGTACTTCTTAGAGTGTTGATAAATAAATTAAGGAGGGGATGTCTACAGAAAAAATGTCATATTTCTCACTCTAGGAGAAATTCTGGATTTTTTAAAATATTTAAATAAATTAAAGAGTGGATGCCCATATAAAAAAATGTCACATTTCTCACACTAGGGGAAATTCAGGATTTTTAAATATATTTCCTTATAAAAATAAAAACTTCTATACTATTAAAATCTGAATTATTAGCTATGATTTTATGCTATACTAATTGGTATAACATAAGTAAAAGGTAGATAAATTAAATTTTGAATGTTAGTCACTAAAAATCTCGTGACATGCACAGTAGAGGATGCCCATGCAGAGAGGGGTAATTACTGCTAAAAAGTCATTAGACATTTTCTTCTTTTAAAAAGCCAAGAAGAGTGATGAGATCTCACAAAAGAACAACAACAAATAAACTAGATTAATTAGAAAAACGATTTGTGGCAACCTTGTTCAGTTGCAATATATTCAAGTTGTTTCTTTCTCTGGTTAATCGATTGTTGCATTATTTTGTGACAGCTGAGGTGTTTAGTATTTCTTGCAGTTTTGATTTTCATACCAGGAACTATTTTTTTCATGAAATGCCATGTATGGTACAATTAAATATTGAGGTTTAAAGTTGAATAAATGTGTTACAAAGAGTTAAGATTTTTAGTGCTGGATTTAGTTGCCATAATGGGTTAAAATGATGAATGTTAAAAAGATGCTAAGCAATATTTGTTAATTGCTAATCCAATTCAGTATTTATTTGCAGTTTCTATTAATCAAATCCACCAAACTATGTTGTCCCCTGATATATAATATATATGATGTTGTTGCAAGTGGCTTTTTTTGTACTCAACACTTGTTAATCACATGTTTACACAAAACCACCTCGCTCAGTAAATAATTGTTGGGTGGAAAAAAAGCCAATGCAGTTGTAAACTGTTGAAAAAGAAGTAACATTCAACTGAATGCATATTTGTAGCTTGAAGAAATAATGTCAACACAATGTCTCAAACCTTAAGCTTGTATGTTTACTTTTTTGTGGTTGCATTTTCACTTTAAGCTATGTAACTTGTTCTTCTGTAATTTTTTAAAGATCCCCATTCCCCCTTTTTAACTTAACAATTTTTAATGATCTTCTTAATAGCAGTACAACTGCACTAACTTTCCACAACAGGACATTATTCTTTTGATAAAACATTGCCTAGTTCGTATGCTACGTTTCCACCCTTTCACTGCCATTTTTGAGTTCAAGTATCATTATTTTTGCAAATGATGGACTGCAGAATTTCTCTTTGCAACCATTGTCAATCTCTTTCCACTTGTTTGCATTTCCATCACTGACTTTCATCTGTACTTTGATGCCAAAACGAACATGGTGCAGATTTATTAGGCAGAGCAAAGTCTAATTTCAAAAAAAAATTTGTGACTGGCCAGGAAGCCTTTCAGACTCCAGTATTGACTTCAGTGACTTATGACAAAGATTTTCTGTGGCATGTGTAAGAGAATTTCATTTGCAAAGTTTACTCGCTGGATTTGCCTTGGTCTTGTGAATGGCCAGATGAGTGTTGGAAAAAAGTGAGAAATAGCCAATCAATAGATTATTATAAAGTTGTTTAAATTATGACTATCTACTGCCAAGTTTTATTTGAGGTTTTTGTTAAGTCTTAAGATATAAAACTATACATATAACTCTGGATGTATTAAGTGTGTCATGAAATTTTGCAAACTATTAGTAGAAATTATAAATCTGCTATTCTCAAAAAAATTAATTTCTTAGTGAGGAATTTATAGTAAAACCTGTTTGTGAACTTCCAAAGTCTTTATTGAGTTAATCTGAGTGCAAGTGAACACGTGAATAAGACAGACCAATGTTCTGTTGAAAACAGTAGTATTACCCCCCCTAAAAACAAACATTTCTTTATGTTTACAAGACACTGTTTAATTCACTAAGTATTTGGTTGTTATTTAGAAGCTAAATGTGTTTTGCTGAGTAAAGGGATGTAATGAATAAACTATTTGGTGATGATAAATAAAACCATAGAATGTATCAAGTATTGTACAAAACATATCAACAGTGTTTGTTGCTGCTATTACTGTAGCCAACATCAGTGTTGTTAGAACTAATAAGAAACAATAAAGACTTCTTGTTTTCTTCTAGCATTCATATACTGTTTTTATCCAAATTTACCTTTCAAAATCTAAAAATTGAGCTTTAAAAAGGTATATGCATCTTAGAAGTAGAATTTAAATAATCTCTTTCATTACCGTTCTTCTAAATAGCAATGTTTAATACAGAGGTATTTTAATTACCATAAGAAAAGGTTAGGCCTAATTATTTTTTGGTTATTTGTACAAGTGATAGATTCAGATATACATTCTTAATTTGTTTTTGACTGTAAAAATATGCATATGGTATCTTGAAGTATTATAAGTGCTATTGAACACTTTTGCTACGGCCATCATTTTCTGTGCATGTCACAAGGTTTTAGCAAATTACATTCAGAATGTAATTAAACTACTTTCTTAACATGGTATAAAAATAAACTTGGAATTATTATGTAGCTAACAACCTACATTTTAATATCATATAAGTTATGTTTTAATTTTACAAGGCAATATTAAAAAATAATCCTAAATTTCCCCTAGTATGAAAATTGTGACATTTGCTCTCTAGCTATTCCCTCTTCTCTGATTTATTTATCATCCCTGAAGTACAAAATTTAATGCAAATTATTCATTATAATATTGTCATAACTCAGGAAAAGCATACTTTTTACAATCTTCAATCTTAGTTAGTTACAGAGTCATCAACTAAAAATCAGACACCTCTCGTCATGCCCACCTGTCACATCCTCAAATTGCCAACAGTTCTCTCCAATGTTTAATACTATATTATTTATAATCAATAGAAAGCCAAGGTTTTAATCTATTAAATGACATATTATATTACATTGTTTCCTGTACAAAGAATTATTTCTCTTTCAGTTCAAACTTTATTCCCATAAGAAACACATCTAAGAGCTTAACTGAATTTTTAACGGCTTTTGTCACAGTTAGAAAGCCAGAATATTGTAATAATTATGGGACATTGTCTACTTTTGGATGTTATTATTAATAATAATAAAAATGTTTCATGATATATGCTCGCAAACAACTCACAAGTGGCCCATGCTTTATGTAATTCAATAGGTAATATGAGCTATACATTTGCCAAGTGATTTACAACTTCCGTGGCACAAATATTAGTTAGACACAGTACAAAAGGCAATAAAACAATAAAATTTAAGTAGAAACAGATGTACATTATTATGTGTTTAAAGTTATTCAGGATAAACAACTGTAGTTTCATGTTATAATTTGAAGTCATTCTAGAAAGAAAATAGGATAATTTAAATTACTCTTTTTCTATTTTTTTGGTGGTTATGAGGTCAGACAAATTGAACAACTTTGTATAGGGTAGCAAGAATAACAGATAAAATATAAAGTTTGAGAAAAAAATTTAAATTTATCTAGGAGGTTTTCAAGATTATGCAAATAAAATTTGAGATTTTTCAGATAAAGAAAAGCATTTTTAATCTTAATATGAAAATTACTTTGCACTCAAAGCAGTCAACACTTCGACTTCATATATTCAAGGAGAAATATCTTGTGAAAATACTTCATTAAACATTCGCACACATTGACTGTTTTGTGCCTAGTGGGGCAATAACCTTTCCATATAATGTACTAAATCTCAAAGCAAAAATAATTTTCCTTTGTAGAATACGATATGTCATAACAAAAACAATGTTTTTGATATAGTATTCATAAAAATTTGCTTATGACAAACCAACAAAAAACAGTACCTGACACTGAGTAGACTCTGATTCTTTCAAAGACGTAGTGTTGACAGAAGGAAATAACTCAGCACAGCGACAGAGTTCTTCATTCAAAGAACTTGAATACTGCTGTAGTAACGTTTTCATCTTCTCAGCTGAAACATCTTCAATTCTTTTCATACAGGATAGAAAGTACTCATCTATATAAACAAATATAACAGCTCATATAACTGAAACATCAATAATACTTTTCAAAAGTATAGAAATTACTAGCCTATATAACTGAAAATTTCACTGATAAGTATGTGTGCAGTATTCTTTCATATGAACGACTTTAATATTATAATTTCAAAATTTTCTAAACTTTAGGACACTTTAAAGTAAGTAATGAAAAATAAATAAATAAGAACACTAATAAAATCTAGCAATTCTTTTTTTACTAAGTGTTCATTGATAAACAGATGTTATAGATTCTATGGGTCGATGAAATGTAAAGTCTGATTAGACAACATAGAAAAAGATGATTTCCTTAACTCGATATATACGAGTAGGTCAAAGTGCACATCACAATATTTTTTACAGTTACATTCAAAAGTTAATAAAACTACTTTATTATCAATATATTTTAATAAACCTGGCATAAAAATGTAGTTTATAATTTAAATTTTAATATTAAACAAGTTTCAATTTCTTATTTTCAAATGCACTTATTTAAACAAGTTCTCAATCTTGACTTTTATTTATCAAATGACATTTTTGTGTCTGGACTGTGCATTTTAGAATTTCTTTCCACTCCAATATTATCTTCAACATTTCCAAGGACTCAACATTTATACATTAGATACTCCTGAACTAAATGGAAAATTTATAGCATTTATTCTTCTTGCTTTAACTCTCAACACAGGCTCGGTCAATTTGACCGACCATGTGACCTCTTTGTACTCGTTTAAAGTCTTTATAGATTTAATACTTCTAACTTTTAACATAGCATGTATATTTTCATGAAATTTGGTAGTCTTTCAGTTGACATTACAAGGCTTTCACGTACAAAAATTTATATTTTTTTAGTGAAGTATTTTTAACAAACTAAAATAAAGATATGTCCAGGAATATATTGATTATTTGTTTTCAATAGTCCATGTGCAAAATAATTTACAAGTTAAGATTAAAAATACTTTTCTTCATCTTAAAAACCTCAAATTTCCTTTGTATAATCCCTAAAACCTCCTAGATACAATTCAAAAGTTTTCTTCAGTAAAACTTTATATCTGTTATTTTCTCTACGCTATCTAAATACAGGGTCGAACAAATGAAAAAAATATATATAAAAAAAATCCAAATTAACCTTTTTTCCTTTCTAGAATGACTTCAAATTGTAACATCAAACTACATAAATAGTTTTAAGCTCGTAACAGTATACATCTATTTATACTTAAATTTTATTGATTTATTGCCCCTTTGATTGTCCTTTGATGTCTAACCACAATCCGAGCCATTATAAATTGTAAGTCACTCGGGGAACGTGAAACTCATGTTATGTTCACGAATTACATTATCCACGAGCTGCTTGTTTGCATGTCTCGTGAAACATTTTTATTATATTATTTATTTTATCTAATCTTGACTAACCTAAAAAGATCTCTATTTTTAGATTTTAGTTACTTTATAAGTAGCCAATGTGTTATGTAATTCAATAAGGAACACAAGCTCCAGGTTTGCCAACTGATTTACAAGTTTTATGGTGGAAATGTTGATTTAGACACAGTTCAAAGGGCAATAAAACCTAAGTACAAACAGATGTATAATGTGATGAGTTTAAAGCTATTTAGGATAGAAAAATACAGTTTTATGTCAGAATTTGAAGTCATTCTAGAAAGAAAAAAAAGTAATTTATATTTACTTCAAATTTTTTTGGGTGGTTATCAGGTTAGTCAAATTGACCAACCTCATATATATATTTAGAGTAGATAAAATATAAAGTTTTACTGAAAAATAACATTTTAAAATTATTTAGACAGTTTTAAAGATAAGTTTCAGATAAATGAAAGTATTTTTAATCTGAACAAGAAATCACTTTGCACTCAGACTAGTAAACAGATCCACTTAATATATTCACAGACAAATCTTTATTGAAAATACTTAATTAAAAAATCTAATTTTTTGTATACAAAAGTCTTGTAATGTCAGCTGATAGTCAGCAAAATTTTATAACATGGTTATGAACTCGGTCAATTTGACCAAGCCTGTGTGGAAAGAATTAATAGTTATATGTCATAAACTGAAACTCAGGTGCCATGCCCCTCCTAGAGAATGCTGTCTTTAAAAAATGTGATTAATTCTCTTATGGATTTTAATATTGGATTATTTATAGCAAATAGAAAGAAATTTAATTTATTGTCATTCCTTAAGAGGTTAGAGTGTTCTCATGATCAGTTTTGAGATATTCTGCATCAATTTCATTATTTCCTATCACAAAGATAGCCTCAACCAAGTAAGAAAAGTACTTTAATGCATATATATCTCAGTTAGAAAGCCAGTTAAATTAGTTTTAGACCACTGTTTTTTCTTGAAGTTTAATATTTTGTGTTCTAAGTTGTATATTTAAAATAAATAAAAATGAAGTACTAACAACTCTCTTACAAAAAATGGTTTAACATTCATAGAGACTCAGAGAACAAAAAAAATGATCATATTTAAATGCTAAATTTACTGTTATTTATTGCTACATTAGGTAAGAAAAATCAAATGAAAAAATCTAATTCAAGAAAAACACAACTGGATAGCACAAGCATGCTGGTAACTCAATGCTAGGTTTACACAAAGCCTCTCTGCTATGGCAACTTGCTTTGGCAATAATCTAAGTGGCAGTAAAGCAATAAATCTAAATGACCATGAAATTTAAATTGTATTAGCTTTAGCTGTAAGAACAAATAGTGTGTAATTTTGTGTAACAGTATGCAGACGTTCTAAAAAGAAACAAATGGTAATTTAATTTATTTCGTAATTTTTTGTGGTGGTTACAAGGTCATTCAATTTGACCAAGCCTGTATACAGCATTAGGTTAGAGAAACTAACAGACAAAATACACAGTTATATTTAGGAGGTTTCAAGGGTTTATGCAAATGTAATTAGAGAACTGTAAAATAAAAAAAAATCATTTTCAATTTTAATAAGAAAATTGCCTTGCACTCAGAGTAGTCAGTTTGAGTTATGCTCCGACTCTATATATTCACAGACAAATCTTTAATAAAAACACTGAATTAAAATTGATTTTTTTATGTACAAAAGGCTTGTAATTTTTACTAAACACTTGGCAAATTTCAAGAAGATGCACTTACTACATTAAAGTTATAGTATGTATAGTTTCATGGTTAGATGGTGGTTAAATTGGTCAAAACGATGAAACCTGTCAATGAAGAGCTAATAAAAAATCAAATATCAAAGATGCTTTATGATTTCATTTGAGATCTAAAATGCCACTAGGAAAACATTGTAATTTGTATGATAAAACTTATGACGAACAAGATGTCCATGAACATTAAAAATTCATGTTATATTTAATTAAGGCTTGCTTATTCATTAGTGAATAAGTGATAAACTGTAACATGTGCAATATAAGTTGCTTTTGTTTATTGATTTGTTTCTGACCTATAAGGCCAAAGAACAATGTTTAATTTAAATTAGTAAAACACTTTGAGACTGACTATTTTGCAACTGATAATACGTATGTACTAGAGGTGTGTATCTCATCACAGTAGTCGATACAATACATATCTAGATATTGATGCATTGATATGATACGTACATAGATACAACAGTTCACCAACAGTTTGTTACAAAGTTTGACAGTCTTGTCTGTAATTTATTATCTGTATTACTATCATTGTCCTATTTAACTACTTCACATTTCAAATTCTCAGGTTTGATCAACTAAATGGCAGCTGGCAATAAAGTAAAATAAAAAGTTAATATCTGTCTATCTATTTTGTTATTGTTAAATTGTTAGGTTACTTTAGATGTAATGTTTTTGATAAAAGAAATGAAGACAACATGTAGTACTCAATACTCATCTTCCTTTATTGAATCATTAATTTTTAGAAACAATACTTTATTAGAAGTTCTGATTTTTTCTGTACAAAAGACTTGTAATGTTTACTGAAAGCTTGCTAAATTTTGTGAAGATACATAAATGGTATTGTATCGGACGATATATCGATACAATCACATCACGGCTTCATGATACAATACTCGTATCATATCACTGTATCGCCACACCTTTAATATGTACACCCAATACATATATATATATATATATATACATACCTATGCAAAAACAAGGTTTAAAGGAGAGAGAGGGGGGACATATTTTTAGTACTATATGTAAATTCACATCTGAATACTTTCTAAAGATTAGAATATCGCTATTTATGTGCATTTTTGTGATACAGAACATTTTTTTAGCATATCTTGCACAATGTTAAAATTGGAAGGATATAACCTTACTTCATTTCTAAAATTAAGAACTTTTGTTCTATTTTATATAGTTGTATGAAAATGTTACCAGCACATGACCATCAGATATTTCTGTTCAACTAATAATCACAGAGCAAAACAACATTTCTTTCTGGTTTATCCAGATTCACAATGAGAAGTTAGTGGATGTGTTATCATAAACTAGTCTACTGGACACCCTGAAAAGTCATGGAAGATAACCTATGGCATGTTATAACTGTTATTTGTACAACATGACCATTAGAATTATCAGGCCACTATAAAGGTCTCAATCTGGATTTGAGACCACTTCCTACTGGCTTAATACATCTGACTTAAGAAAAAAAAACACCTTTCTGCTATGCAGCTGATCATTCAAGTTGTACTAGCTGTTGTTTGGATCATAAAAATTGGAAACAATTATGTAATAACTTATACCAGAGGAGCTGCTAAAATTCTACAATAATAATTACAATGAACAAAAAAAGTCTTAATTCTGAATAAAATACAAATCACAGAAAATTTCTATTGCACTCTGATCCAGATCATCAGAGTGGTCATACAATTTCAAGTAGACATATTGGACAGGACAGAGGTGGCATGGAGGACATGGCTATAGACAAAGAAATAAAGATGGCAAGGCGATCCTTGTAGATGGTTCAGGCACATGATTTGGTTATAGTCAGTACATTTTTTTTAGAAAAGAGAA